AGCATATTATGAGGGATGAGGTCAAAAGCATTAGAAAGATCAAAATAGACGGCATCAGCTTGACGCTGACCGCGGACAACAGGCGTCAAGAAGTCGAGAAACGTCACCAAATTGGTAACTGTAGATTTAGTTCTGGTAAAGCCATGTTGGTTGGAATTAAATTTAGCGAAATGAGAAACATGGTCATTAATAATGAATTCAAACAATTTAGAGAAATTACTGATAATAGAAATAGGCCTGTAGTTGCTCACGGCAGCATGATTGCCTCTTTTAAATACTGGTACAACAGCAGATTCTTTCCATGCAGCAGGAAAATACTGCTGCATCTGGCTCAAGTTAAATATATGCCTAAGTATAGGAATAAAAATACCTGCACAACCTTTGATGATAAAACCAGGAATACCGTCAAGCCCAACAGATTTTGATGGTTTTAGTCTCTTGATGGCTTTGTAGACATCAGCATCAAAAATGGGGGCAAGGGATAAAAATTAAGAAGATTGCGAGACAGGGTGAATGACCTTAGAGCAGTGTTTATTGTAAACAGATTGAAAGTGCTTAGCGAATGCATCAGCAACAGTTTCGGGCTGGACTAGGTGTGTACCATCAACTTCTAGATGAATGGAACCGGATCTATGTTTTCTGAAATTAGACATGTATTTCCAGAAATGTTGGGGCTGTGAATTTAAATTGTTATCAACTGACTTCAGCCACCTAAGTCTGTCGGACTTGATGGTATTTTTAACTAGTTTTCGATAATAGGCAAACCTGTCGTAAAAGTAATCAGAAGGATTCTTTTTAAAACGACGGTGGAAATAATTTTTCTTGATGATGTAATGCCTTAAGGTATAGGCAAACCAGTGAGGGAATTTAGACTTGTAGCGATACCCACAAGGAATTGCCTGCTCCATGGCACTTCTGACAGCAACACTGAGGCTGGCGACTGCTACGTCAACAGAAGAGGTTTCATACACGCTTGACCAATCATAAGTTGATAGAATGTTGTAAAGCAAAGCGTAGTTCCCTGCTGTGAAATTTTGATAACTATACTCACACTTTAAATTACTGTTAACATTAGGTAAGAGAACATCAATATTCAAAGGAGGGTGCTATATATCAGTTGCGACCAATCCAGAGTTGGCAGGAACAGACTTTAGATCAGTGAAATTTGCAAATACTAGGTCAAGCATGTTAACAGTGTCAACAGCGTCAACGCACTGCCTTAGGCCAAGAAAACATGTAGAGGTGTATATAGAGTCCCCTTTGAGTTTAGAATAATAATGACAACTAGAAAGAGGTGTCCCGTTCTCCCAGTTGAATCCAGGAGCATTGAAGTCACTGAGTAATATGACGCGAGTATTGTTCGTGTCTAGATTGTTTTCAAGTTGTCGAAAGTAGGCAGTAATGACTTCCGGTTTGGTGTCAGGGGAGAAGTAATGGTTACCAATAAGCATGTTTATGCCATCAGCAGTGGGAACCTCGACCCACACACATTCAGAACAGAGTTCTAAATCATACCTGTGCCTGCAAGAGCCCAGGCTAGTGGTAATGGCTGTTAAAACGCCACCACCACGAGCCTTGTTTATATACGGCCGGTCAGGCTGGTAAATGGTGTATTGGTTAGGAAACAGATTGTGATCGTAGCACAGGTCGTTTAGCCATGTCTCGGACAGACAAATTATGTCGTAATTGGAGACGCACACGTCATAAAATTCAAGTTGTTTGGTCCTGAGACCTCTAACGTTTTGATAAAAAATGCCAAGAGAGTTACCGAAATTCAGATGCGACATGGCCGAAGGACTTGTGCTCGCATCACTGAAAGAGGCCATGTTTAAGTGGATGTCGAGCTGCCTCCGTTGGCCCCATTGTTATCCGCTGGATTCGTTGCAGGTTTAACAGCAGCAGTGGGAGCTGCCTCTTCAGGTGTGCTGGCAGTAAATATCTGGTCCGCAGTAAGCTTACCATAATATGGAGCAATCAGGCAACCAGAAGGCCAGACACCAGTGCTATTTATTAGAGCAAATTCGTCTTCCAATACAGAGATATGAAATGAAGAGTACAAGTTGAATTTAGTTTTGAGTCTGGTGCAGACCAGCTGTTTTAGACTCAATTGCTCCTTCAATGATTTGTGCACATCATCTGCAGTAACCTCGGGGCTAAACCGAGAGTCAAATAGTGCCTTGGATCTTTCAGCTTTTTTGACGACCGGCAAGGATTGCGAGTTACTAATACTGATGAGGGGCTGTCTGCGAAGCTTAACCTTGTTGACAACAGCACTTGCAGCAGGAGTGCTGGTGGTGGTCCTATTTCTGTACCTAACGGTTTTAAATCCGTCAGGATCAGGTATCACTGTAGGCCCAGGGGGTGAAACCCCAACCGCAGCGACGTCCCTGTACAACAAGGTTGTCCCAGCAGGAACAGCAGGCGAGGCCTGAGTGGAGAGGGCAGCTGAAGGCATACGCTGGTTGCTGGCTGCTTCCTTGCGGGATGTTTCTGCCAGCAGAATGCGCTGCTCCATAGGGGCCCTGGGTGAGGCTTCAACATGGCTATGCAGATTCCTAATTTCCTCTTTCAGCAGCATTTTTGAGATGGGCGACCTCGTTAGCCAGATTTGTTACCATATCCACAAGGGACTCAATTAACTGCACGGTGCATTGTCCATTGTGTCTAATAGCTTCAAGCTGATTACTCACAGATATAAGCGGAGAGACCTCTTGGTTGGATGAAGCACAACTCGTAGCTCCTTCATTACCTCCTTCATTAGATGGAGATCCTGGTGAATTGGTAGGATCCATATCAGTGCCTGATGAATTCGCACACGCGTTGCACTTGTATACAGACTCACTCTCAGCGGTTAGAGTAGCCTGCTCGGCCTCTCCAAGTTGCAGGCACGCACAGTGAAATCGCACATCACATACACCACACCGAATAAATTTTTGTTTTCCATAAAATGGCTTTGTCACATATTGGACAAGCATCCTGGCTGGCGACCATGAAGCCACGCAGAAACACAACACTGGATTCACGAGATAAAAGTTCTTGATGTTTGCAGCAAGCAGTAGGAGCAGGAGCACACAGTACAACACGTCCGCTCACTCCGAGCGCTCGAGCAATAATAATAATAATAATAATAATAATAATAATTGAGGTTGTATATGCGCATGCTGGGGATCCATTGCGCTGACCACGTGACACCCTCTATCTGCAGAAGTTGGTACTAACTTTGCCTACAAGCGGCGGTTGCTCGGTCGGCATAGTTCGCTTGCAGACTAAAGCCATGTAGTTTATTTTTTGTTTTGTTATATGTGCATGCATCGGTGACACAGCAAGGCATTTACCTGACCATTGGCTTGCCTGTGCAAGTGTCAGCAATATAGGTGATGGCTGGTAATGTGATTGCTATTTTCATCACATTTGTAATTGTACAGTGTGTTTCACTCATTTAAGATATCTAGAAAAGGCCATCAAGTTCAGTTACTTGTAGACAAAAAATGCATGCTTCTGTTATGACTCTAGACAGAATAATTTCTTGTGGCAACACATCTCCACTTATAAGATGGGAGGCAGTGGAAAACTAGGGTCTGCATTATACAATTTCACTATGCAGATAGCCTTCAAGAACACATCCTTTCTATAATGTGATGCCATGCTGTACTCACTGAAAATAGAACAGAAATACCAGATGAGTACACTTTTATTTATTCAAAACTTGATACACGTTTATACTATATATATATATGAATTATGTCTACCGTCAAACACAACAGATACTCAGTTTTAATTTCTATCTTTATTGCTGCTACATGTTTCGGTTGTATAAGACCATCATCAGAAAGTTATATACAGGAATATGTATAGTCATTGAAACACCAGTATGGATCCTTATCGGTGCAGCATGTCGTTGCGTGTTGCCTGTGCAGTGTGACAATATACTAACATAAAAACTTTTGCCTCAAGTTGATGTAGCACATACATAAATAAGATAAAAGATAAATATGTAGGTATATCATATATCAAAACTTATAATGTCTTTTATATATTATTGAAAATATTAAAAATATGTTATAAATGTTTAAAAAATATTAATTGGTTTCTGATGCTAGGTTAAGGATGTGTATGTGAACCTAAATATTTAAGGTTTTCCTGCTACAGTGTAGAAAAATGGGTATGTATGTTTGTAGGTCTTTTTGCAGAAGCTTCATGCACAGTAAGCCTGGTTGTGAAGCCCAAAGACAAGTTACTATGATGTACGAGTTGTTAGTGTGTGGATATTTGTATGCTATTCCCACAATATGTATCTTTATATAATTGTACAATATGGCATATGTGTTTTTTGTCTGGGCATGTATACATTCAGTGTGTTCTACACTATGCAGTGGTTCAGTGTACATAGATGTAGCAGCAATAAAGATCGAAATTAAAACTGAGTTTGTTGTGTTTGACGGTAGACATAATTCCCATATATATCTGTCTAGAAAACCGAGATTAACGGCCATGGGGATCTGTTGCACTGACCACGTGATACCCTCTATCGACTAAAGTAGGCACTAACTTCGCCGACAAGTGGCAGTCGCTTGGTCGGTGTAGTTTGTTTGCGGACTACAGGCCACGGACTTTGTTTTTGTTATTTATATATATATATATATGTGTGTGTGTGTATATATCTAACACACAACAGGCTGCAGCCAATGAAGGTGATACAAGTTTGTTTCAGGGCATGCTGAATCCAAGAGGCTTGACAAGAAGCTTATAAACTACAGGTACTGGCTGGCTTAGTTGCTGCAGTTTGGGACGTGAACAAAACTGTAACATTCAGTTAAAATTAAAATAAACCAGCTACTTTTCATGTTATTTTGAAATATTTGGTTCTCCTTCAGACTCTGGCAGAAGTTTTCCGCTGCTTCATCTGTATGGAGAAGCTGCGGGATGCTCATCTCTGCCCCCATTGCTCCAAGTTGTGTTGTTATGTTTGCATTCGCCGATGGCTAACAGAACAACGTTCACAATGCCCTCATTGCCGAGCATCGCTGCATCTTCATGAATTGGTTAACTGTCGTTGGGTTGAAGAGGTGACACAGCAGTTGGATACCTTGCAGGCAGTTGGGTTTACAAGTACTCGTGGTGATGACTGTGATAGAGACAGGTATGACATACCTTTGAAAGTGTGTTTTAATATTAATTTTCTTCTGCTGGTGCCGTGTTAAGTGTTGTAATAATCTTGTTTTTTTTGTCAGTAGATGTGAAAGCCATAAAGAAAAACTGTCAGTGTACTGCTGGACTTGTCGGCGGTGCATTTGTCATCAGTGTGCTCTCTGGGGTGGTACACATTCAGGACATACCTTCAAACCTCTGGAAGAAGTTTATGAACAACATATCACCCAGATCAAAGATGAAGTGACTCAGTTGCGACGTCGGCTGATGGAATTAATGAGTTTAGTACAGAAAGTGGTCAGTATGAATTTGTTCCTGATTTTACTTAAATCATAGGCTTAAGAAGTGTCTTCATTCATTGAGGAAGGGAAAACTCCTGAATTCAGTACTTGATACCAATTCAGAGGACAAATGATGAAGTGACTCAGTTGCGACGTCAGCTGATGGAATTAATGAGTTTAGTACAGAAAGTGGTCAGTATGAATTTGTTCCTGATTTTACTTAAATCATAGGCTTAAGAAGTGTCTTCATTCATTGAGGAAGAGAAAACTCCTGAATTCAGTACTTGATACCAATTCAGAGGAGAAATGTTGATGAAGTGACTCAGTTGCGACGTCAGCTGATGGAATTAATGAGTTTAGTACAGAAAGTGGTCAGTATGAATTTGTTCCTGATTTTACTTAAATCATAGGCTTAAGAAGTGTCTTCATTCATTGAGGAAGGGAAAACTCCTGCATTCAGTACTTGATACCAATTCAGAGGAGAAATGTTGGATAGCAGCCAGCTGTCTTTCTCAGCTCCCTACTTCTGAGGTACTTAGCCTAGGTGACAGTATAATTGAAGTGTCAGGTATATGTACGAGTGCATGATTCCATAAAACAGGATGAAAAATGTTTGTTATTACATATAAATGATAATTTTAGAAATATAATGCACACAATAAAGTGATACAGATGAGTTTCAAATAGAGAATCCGTTTTCTGTTTTTATAAACTGTTCACTTGGTTCGGTAGACTAGAATATGGTCATGTGACCACACACATATTAGTTCTCACTGGAGGGCTTTCTGTTTGACAGTCCCTTAAGAAGATTCAGAGGTATATAATTATATTCCCTTTCCTTTCAAATTTCAGAAGTGAGAGTACATTATTTTACTTAAACATCAGAAAGTACAGATTAGGCATGGAAAAATAATGTCTGTCATGTTAGGTTCCCTTTCTTCTTCCAGCAGCTTGAGGGCCCTGTTGTCAGATTGTTCAGTTAAAGGATAATATGTTATTCTTAACAGGTAATTCCTGGGATAATCAGGAATGAATGGGTTGGAGAAGAAGAGTTCCTGCTTGCTGTTATGCTCTAAAATTGCAGGTGTCTGTCTAATCCAGTTTCTATTTAAAATTAATTTTTAATGCATTGAAAGGCTGTTACAGGGTACTGAAAGTTTCTTCAGGAGATGCATGTTAGTCATCATAGCAGTACTCATTGAAACAGACAGAGATATTAAAGAGTACATGATGATACAGGTGTTTTTTTTTTCATGACACCTGATAATTGGTGTAACTACTTTGATATTGAACACAGTATTATGAAACTTTCATAGATCATTCTGCACATGGGAAATTTGTTTGCTATACTAAAACTCTCTCCGGTCTAGAAAACCGAGATTAATGGCCATGGAAATCCACTGTGCTGACCATGTGGCACCCTCTATCCACATAAGTTGGCACTAACTTTGCCGAAAAGCAGCGGTTGCTCAGTTGGTATAGTTCGCTTGCAGATTAAAAGCCACAGATTTTTTTAAACTAAAACTCTCTCTGGATGTAGTGGATTGATAATGGTAAGCTGTGGGATGTATGAGGGTTGGAACTTTAATAGTGGCAACACTGCTGTAGAGACACCATGCAATGGAACCAAAGAATGTCGCTTATACCACACATCAGTTACATGCCTACCTTACCTCAGAGCAAATGGACTCTCCCTTCCCACATCACGCACATGCGCAGTGACAAGAAGAACAGAGCCTCGTGTTAGCTGGCGGTCTAATGTAGCGTTGTCACGATGTTTTTGAAACAGGAACAGTGGAGTTGGATAAAGATTGAATGTGCCAGAGGCCGTACAGCATGGCAGTGTCATCAAGGTCTTCAAGAGGCTTGCAGGGAATCTGCATTGCCTTACAGAACAGTGGCAAGGTGGAACCACCACGAAAATCAAAAGTTCGTCAGAACCCTAGCAGTGTGAAAGTTCTGCCGATTCCCGTGTACGACTGTGATGGTGTTATCCTGATGCATACCGTTCCCTGACAGAAGACTGTCAATGCGCAATATTATTGTTCATTTTTGGAACACAATCTGCAACCAGCTTTGAGAAAGAAGTGGCGACACTTTCTCCAGAACCTGCCCATCATTTTGCAGGACAATGCTTGGCCGCATGCAGCGCAAGCTGTGGCTGATTTGTTCGATCGAAGGGGCTGGGAAGTGCTGTACCATCCACCATACTCCCCAGACTTAAGCTCTTGTGACTTCGACTTGATTCCAAAGATGAAGGAACCACTTTGTGGCATTCGCTTCAGAAGTGTTCCAGAGATTCTTCAGGCAGTAGACCACTCCATTCGAACTATCAACACAACAGGCGCTGCTAAATGTATCCTACGACTTCCACATTGCTGGCAACGGGTTGTACACAATGCTGATGACTACATAGAAGGACAGTAAAACTTTGAAACATGCATCTGTTTTCTATCAGTTGTAAATAAATAGTTGCCACTATTAAAGTTCCAACCCTCGCATGAGGCCCAAAATTGAACATTGCTTATTATTGTAACCATGCAAATGAAAGTCAATTGGAGAACAGTGTAACAATCACAACATTTAGATTGTCCTCCAGTAGCACTCCATACTGCCTTGAAAAAGTGTAACATCTTGCTTCTGACAATGGCTGACTTAGTTTCATTTTGTATGAAAAAAAAGTGATCATAACACATTTTCCGTGTAGTGATGGTTGAGATCCTAATCTGTTGTGCCAAATATTACATGCTTTTTCTTGTACTTCCTGTTATTGCCTCCTGTGCTACACAAACTACTTCCCCTGTACTAACAGATACAGTATGTTTACATCTGTTCACACATTTTGTCATAAAAATGTTTTTTTTTTTTTCAGACTGTTCACCAGTCTGGCAGATAGTGTCACTTGATGGTGTAACATGAAGAGAAAACCGTTGACAGCATTGTCTGTCCACAGCAGCACAAGAACCATTAGAACAGTAAAAGATTTTGATAACAAGCACAGGCTGATCCATTGTGTATAATTCCATCTTGTTTCTCAATTCAGCATTGGTAATGGCAACAAACAAATTTCCAAAGTGTGCAGGATGAACCATGAAAGTTTCTTACAGTTATGTCCAATAACAAAGAAATTATACAAATTTTAAAATGCCAGATGACAAGAAACACATGCTTCACTTGAACACATGCAGTAGAACAGTGTCTGAATCTTATGTGTCTTATAGATTAGTGTATTCTCTGTGAACTAGTCTCCCTGTACTTTAATGAGTACACAGGTAACTGTTTTTTGTATTTTGTCAGGAACGTAATGTGGAATCTGTTCGTGCTGCCAAAGATGAACGTGTTCGTGAAATACGTAATGCTGTGGAGCTAATGATTGCTCGCCTGGACTCTCAACTTAAAGCCAAACTGCTTACATTAATGGGCCAGAAAAATTCATTAACACAGGAAACAGAATACTTAGAAGCTTTGCTCCAAGATATTGAACATCAGTTTCATACTTGCACACGCTCTGAACTGATTATGAAGAGTGGTGATCTTTCACGCATGATCCATCAAGTGCGCAAGAAACCCATGGCAAGCTTTGTGACTGCACCTGTGCCTGCGGTTTTCCAGAGGTTAGTTCATTTGCCCTTTTGTGATGTGTCAGATATTCAGAAACTTAGCGTAGGAATCAAATGTTGTATGTCATGGTAACAAGCACGGTATCTACAGAATGAAACATGTATTGTACTTGCTTAAATGTAAACAAGTCCCCAAAATTATGTGGTCTTGAAATTAAAAGAGTATTTTGCACCCACATGGTCTGTCCAAAAAGAAACCGAACTTTCTTTTTAAAACATTTATTGATAAGCTTACAACTTAATAAGACTTTCATCCATGATATGTATACAATGGCCGTCTTGTAGTGCACTCAATTTCACCTGTTACTTCACGACATGTTTCGGCAACATCGTGCCATCATCAGGTGCCCTAATTATGCTAATCTGTTGCATTGCTTGCCATTATATTTCTTTATAAAATTATTTAAAAAGTGCATATTCGTCAACTATAATAAATTTACACACACTAAAACTAGTTAAGATTATTCATCTTATGTGTCTTAATTAAAACTTGCATGTTTTTCTTCCACTATGGGGGTCATTTTTCTTATATTCTGTGTAAACCTGCAACGTGAAAAAAGGTACTTATTATTATTACTTTTGGCTTCTATATGTTATGTGTTGTATTATAATGTTTAGTACTCACCGTGTCTTGTGTGATGTATTCCCTTTTTATCTGCGAGTGTTGTAATGTTGGATGTGTGTGCGTCTTCATAGTGATTGAGTTACGACGTGGTAGGGGTAGATGTGGTGGGGGTAGGTGGTGGGGTTGTGTTATGTTGTTCTGTGTAAATTGTGTGTAATTCCTGAAATATTGGGTTATATATTTCCTTATTGTTCATATGTGTGTTTTTCTTTGTTGTTCTGTATATATGATAGTTTTATAATGTGTTTAAATATTGTCCTTTCTTTTCATTGCTATGATATCCATAGTATTTTCTATTGTACCATATGCATGTCCTGTGTTTAATATGCGTTCCGAGTATCCTGTATTGCTGTTATTGTGTCTTATGTCATGTATGTGTTCTTTATATCATGGATGAAAACGAGTGCAACAGAACACTAAAATACAACATTATTAATAAGACTTGTCTCTCCTCCCCTCCACTGTCTATACACTGCTTCCAATGTTTTTTCCAGTTCTAGAACGCATCCTGGAACGCGTTTTGTAGGATAGTGCATAGGTCACATAGTGAATTTTCTTCTAGCTCTTCTATTGTCTGAAATCGGCGACCTTTCAGAGTGGATTTCAACTTTGGGAACAAAAAAAAGTCTGCAGGGGCCAAATCTGGAGAGTAGGGCAGTTGGGGGATGACAGTCGTCTCATGCTTCGCCAAAAATTCACGGATGAGCAACATGTGAGCAGGTGCATTGTCATGCTGCAGCATCCAGGTCTTGTTTCTCCACCCCTCAGGCCTCTTCCTTTGCTCTGCCTCCCTCAAACGCTTCATGACCTCCAAGCAAAACTGTCCGTTGACTGTCTGACCACGTGGAACAAACTCATGATGAACGACGCACTTCTCATCCAAAAAAAAAATACCATCAGGAACACCTTCACATTTGATCGACTCTGGCGTGCTTTTTTTTTGGTCACAATGATGATTTTCCTACCCACTGTGACAGTTGAGCTTTTGTTTTGATATCATACCCATACACCCACGTTTCATCACCTGTTACTTTTTCAGAATTTTTTCATCAGCATTTGAATGATCAAACAGTTCCTGACTGATCGTGACACATTTCGCTTTTTACTCACCTGTCAAAAGACACGGCACAGATTTTGCAGCAACATGATGCATCTCAAGTTTTTTGGTCAAAATTGTGTGCCACAAACTTGTACTGATTTCTACTTCTTCAGAAACTTCATGGACAGTTAGGTGGCGATTTTGACGAATCACAGCACACGCTTTCTCAACATGATCATCATCTGTTGATGTGGAAGGCCATCCAGGTTTGGGATTGTCTTAGGTGGACGTTCTGCCTGATTTGAAACTTTGGTACCATTCGTAACATTGTATACGGTGTAAAGAATCCTCTCCATAAGCTTGCTTCAACATATGAAAAGTCTCTGTAAAGGTTTTTGCCAATTTGAAACAGAATGTCACGCAAATACGTTGCCCTTCAAGGTCCTTCATGTTTCAACTTGCAAAAATCACAAAAGACACAAGAGACAGGTTCACTCTACTGCATGTACTTGATGACTAATTGATGTGGCGTGATCAGGCAGGTGTCAGGTTAAAGCTTAAGGTCACCGCTGCATAGCACCACTGTTGTGAGTCACCTGTGTTGGCTCGTTGGAACCCTATTTCACAAGTTTGGTTTCTTTTTGGACAGACCACATATATAATTTTTTACTTTTCAATGTATTTCTTACCCTTCTGATTATAAGAACTTGGGTGTAGATTATGGTAAATATTTGTTTTACCACTGCGGACCAGTGCAACATCTACACAAACATTTTTTTACCAACATTTTATGTTAAAAATGAAAATTACATACAAAATAAAAGTACCTATTTGGTTAGACGTATTTACGCAGCAAAATCGGTAATATTTTTTTTCCTCCCTTGGGACAATGAAAGTTTGATCATTTTTATTTCTGTTGTCAGTTCTGTCACTTTCAGTCACAGTGCTGTTGCCACTCTCATAGTCACCATTGCTGTCTTCTCCGCAATCCTGCCAAATCACATCTTTCTTCTTACTGTCCATGGCATGTGATGGGCAGTACATTTTAAACCTTTGAGTGTCAATTCTGGTCATCTTTCCCAAGAAACCAGAATCCACTGGCACAGAAGACCACAGTGGGCTTCTCAGTTTTCAAGAAGGTGTGAGAATGGTTACCAGACAGAAGGAACTCAGAGCATAGTTTTCTGAGGTGGTCATTAAAAGGATTCTTACTAACCACATTATTGACGTGTGTGAGAAATAATATCTCCAGGTATGACTACTAGGTCAGAATTCAAGAATGCAGTCTTGTGTTTTACCTCAGGCATGAGGTACCATTTGAAACTATCTGATGCTAAGAATGCTCTACGTTTTAATTCCCAATGACAGGAATCCAGTCAGTTAATACTTCTTTCATGATATAGCCATTTTCTTGAATTCAAGCAATGGTATCCCCCTGGGCAAGTTTTTTTCTTTTCTTTTCGTTATGATGTACATAATTTTTGGCCCTTAGCCATAGAACCTAACATCATTGTTTATGCATAGCTTTTTTTCCCCTGTTGTCTTCAGTGGTGCTCATTTAGCATGTTTTGTCATAATTATGGCATTATTTGGCATGTCAGAGACAGTTGATATTTCTTCATCATTTCCAATTAAGGCAAATAATTGTGCTTCTTATGTAACGCAATAACTTGACACAGAAATATCATTAAAGTTTATGAACTCCAACATATCCAGCTGTGAAAATGAATGTGGTACTATTTGTCTATATAGTAGTGACATGCTATGTAATTAATTAAAGCTTACTATGATGTTGGCTAAAAAGTCTGCACTTATGTTTCTGACATATTCTGAAATAGTTTGTTAACATTTGTTGTCATGGTACTGACAATTATGTGGTAGGGGCCCTGGGCAGCTATCCACTTTGCCCATTGGATAGAGTAGCGCTGGCTGTACTTTTCACCAATACTGACTGAGGAGTACTGATTGTCTGAGGTGGCATCATAATTCAGTTTTGACTATAAAACTTGTCTTTTTTCTTTCCCATAATTTATTAATTTTCAGAATTTAAATCAGACATGTTATTCATATGTTTCAGTGAGATTGTACCTGGATATGACAGTAGCACTTTCATAATGCAACAATTTACACAGTTGCAGCATAAGGCTGATCCTGTGTATTCACCACCGTTACATGTGAATGGGTTGTGTTGGAGACTTAAAGTGTACCCTGATGGTAATGGAGTTGTTCGAGGAAATTATTTATCTGTTTTCTTGGAGCTTAGTGCTGGCCTTCCTGAAACATCCAAGTGAGTACATTGCACTTTGTTTATATGAGAATCGTTATTTGCACTTTCCAACTGCATTAACCTTTAAGAGACGGCCATTTAAATTCCGGTAGTGGCAGCAGGGACAGATTTAATTTAAATGCCCGTCATTGTAGAGTAATAAAAATTGTAATCATGTTACTCAAAATGCTGTGATTTCTACAATTTTTGTGATAAACGAACGAAATAAACGCTGCATTTATCTAGAAAGAATATAGAATCAGTTATTGTAATTTACCGATTTTAAAATCTAAAAATTTTTACACTGATGCCAAAAAAATTTTTCCCTCAATTTTGAACGTCTGTGCACAAAAATGCATACAGTTCCTGCACAAAACATTTCTGCAGTCTGAATGCCTGCTGGTGACATCATGCTCTAACTATGGCTTGTGTAGCTACAGGGTCGGATGTTTATGCTTCGTTCATCATTCTCCAGTTCGTAGGTTCCTTTCGGTAAGCACGAGTGTGGGCGATGTCTAATCGTTTGCAGAAACACTGACTGTGTATTATCTCGTAGCCAAACAAGAAGTGGTCTGTTTTGAAATATAGCCGAGCAGTGTCAGAACATTCAAGGCTAGCGTTGTGTTTAGCTGTCCACCATGGCCTCGTATTTGGAAGACGCTGAAATTGAGAATCAGCTTATAAATGACACCAATTCAGACTGTTGTACCGATGACTCTGAGAGTTGCGAGGAAGAAAGTGAATCAGAAATTGAAGTCGATGAAGAACCATCATCTTCGTCGGCAGCCTGGGGACCACCACACCAGCATGGCAAGAGGAGTGTGAATAATTATTCAGGTGGAGCTGTGGGCAAACTGTGGCAAACAGTTATAGCATCTGTTGTCGAACCTGGAAATGGACAAATAAACTATTTTTCCATCTCCTGGATCTGAACAGTTACATCCTGTTGTCACACAGAGAATTTCATCTCGCTCTTGTGCGGAACATGCTGGAAGGGGTCCACTTCGCCCTCAACGGCCCAGGGGTCGAACCCCTGCCGTTTCATCGGGGTCATTTCGAATAGAGGAGGCCAAACAACAGCACTGGCCGACTTCCTGTACTTCGAAATTGAGGTGTTGAGTGTGCTCTTCGCATGGGAAACGAAGAATCGTCCGGATAAAGTGCGTGAAGTGTGATGTGGGACTCTGCATTTCCGGAAGTTTCCAAGATTTCCACACGAAGCCAACATTCCATTAGACGACGCAGGTGGGAAGAGAGACAACTTATAAAGCTGGTGACCAAAAATAATGGAAGTAAGAAAAGAATTTATAACTTAAAATTAGATTTTAAAAAGCCGGCCGCACGCGTGGACTGCGCGACGCCATATGGCGTCATTCGTCCCCTTGACTTTATTTTAATGACGCCATATGGCGTCGCTTGGCTCTTAAAGGTTAAGATGAGACTTAGTAATAGTGCTTAAATAACTGACTGACTGATTGACAGACTGACAAGCTTTGAGTTTTTCTTCAGAAGCTAATAGGCACTCAGCTGGTGAAGAAATTCCCCATGTTGTATGTAATCCGAAGATTAGGGTGTTCACAGTAGCCTGCCACTAATCCCATTCTCATCAAGGAGAAGTAATCCACACCCTTCTACACTGTTTCTTTGAGATCCTGATTAATTCTTTCAATTACTTGTGGTCTGCTCCGAACTAACTTCAGGGACCTGAGCCCTTCTTGAGGAGCTGCCAATTGTATAGCTACTCAAGAACTTCCCAACAATTTATGGAACCAAAGGTTCATTACCATGTTCACAAGAGCCCTCCACTGGTCCCTGCCATGAGCCAGATAAATCCCATCCATACCACTCCATCCTATCTCTCTTAAGATCCATTTTAATATTACCCACCCACTTGGTCTTGGTCATCCTAGTGGTCTCTTTCCTTCTGGCTTGCCCACCAATGTCCTATATGCATTTATCTTCTCCCCCATTCATGCAACTTGTCCTGCCCATCTCATCATCATTGACTTGATCATTCTAATTATACTTGGAGAAGAGTACAAGTTACGAAGCTCCTCATTATACAGTTTTCTCCAACTTCCAGTCACTTCATCTCTCATCAGTCCAAATATTCTCCTCAGCTCCCTGTTCTCAAACACCCTCAGTCTGTGTTCCTTCCTAAATGTGAGGGACCAAGTTTCACACCCATAATGATACTCGTATCTCCATCTTGTTTGATGGTTGTGTGCCCTCTGCACAGTTGAAAGATTACTGTTACATAATCTAGATTCTACTGATCAACAGATTTTATCCTGACACTAATGTACATGATCTCTGCAGATATCCTTAAATTTTTGTTTTGCCCAAGGACATTGCTTACAATTGGTTTTTATTGACCAGGTATGAATATCGTGTAGAAATGATTCATCAAGGCTCTCGAGATGCTAGTAAAAACATTGTCAGAGAATTTGCTTCTGATTTTGAGATTGGAGAGTGTTGGGGTTATAATCGATTTTTTCGTTTGGATTTACTGGCTAGTGAAGGCTACCTGAACACTGAAATGGACACACTCATATTAAGGTAAGCACACATTCTTCAGGGAAAGAATGTTTTTTTTATCAAGATTATGGTTCTCTGGGATGAGATGCCATGTACTTTAGTAGATAGGGACTAGTGTTTGGCAGCTGGCCGCCAAATTACATGGCATCATATCCCAAAGAACTGTGATCTTGATCCTGCCATGAATATCTGAGATGTTGTGAATTTATGTATGTACTTCAGTAACTTAATTTCAGGTAACACATTAAGCCATGTTGGTTTGGATTTTTATTAATTTCGGTGTCTATACGTTTAGTGTTTGTATACATCCCCTCTAATAGTTTTTGAACCATTGAAGAGCTTATTATTAGACATAATATATCATGCATTTGTAATTTTCTGTCATCAGTAATACGAATAATATAGGAGGGTGTGATACTGATATGTAATGAATCACTGTGAAGTTTGGTATGGAGAGAGGTAATAAATACAGCTGCAAATTTTTTATAGGGAACAAAATATGTTTATAGTGTGAGTCCATGAGGTTATGTAAAAATGTTTATCTTCTGCTCAGAAGATAAAGGAAGTATATTTCTGTAAACCTCTGTACTAAAGCTAGAAATTGTGACTAAATTTCTTTTCTTGGTTGCGTGGAATTTGTAATGAACGTTTCGTTATGATTTGTACTGTCATCTGAGATTCTTTTCAGAATAGTTGTGTCAGTTTCATTTCACATCCACAGAATCAGTTATTCCACAACAAATTTATTTGTTTGTCCTCTATGTGAAATAATATGGAGCTCTACCTTACCAGCTTTTTGTTATTGATACTTTAACAGGGAACCTTATTGGCATATCAATCACTATAACAAAAGAAATTCACAAGGATATAAAGCAGAATGCTTTATTATGCTGTATTTTCTCAGTATTGTTTTACTTTGTTTAGGTTCCAAGTGCGCCCTCCAACATTTTTCCAGCGTTGTCGAGATCAGCATTGGTATATTAGTCAGCTGTTAACAGTTCAGAACCAGTACATTACACAAATTAATGAATTAAAAGAGGTATGTATGAATGTTTGAGATCATATACAATATTTATTGATAGAATTATATTTTAAAATCGTTCTGTATTTGTGCTTAAGGACTGTGGGAAGATTGCATTGAATTCTGGAGTTGATTCTGAGGATTGAAGAGCAACCATTGTATATACAAGAAATCACATGCATGCAGACAGAGACTGATTTTAATGTACTTTTCTTCCTTAAGGAAATAAATGCAACTTATTGAGATAACCATATTGTCAGTGTCTCTTCCATTTAAACAGTTCAGTTAGTTGTATATAAATTTACTATGCATATTGTCATGTATTGGAGACTAAACACAGGGTTTTTATTGATAACTTGTTTTTGAATGTTTGTGATTCATACTGCAAACATTTATAACACTGTCACTAATCTATACACATTACAGCACACATTAGATCATCTCAATCTCTTATGTCTTCAGTAATCATCGCTGGGCAGCTACTTTTAAGAATGGTGATCCCTCTTCTGCCATTCTGACAGCTAACTACAGACTGCAAGTGCCAGCTCAAGAGTTACTAACTTGGATCGGGTTAAATACTTCTGGCCCTCACCAGCATAGTCATTGCCGGTTCCAGTTCCCATGGAACGCATAATCATTTTTTACCGTCTCATGACTCTGGAAGTTATGCAGCTCCTGACTTATTTGAGTCTCAGTCTGAGTCATGTGTCACAACTGACAGTCAGCTAGTCTCTCTTGGAATGAAGCACCCATCTGGGGCTTATTACCAGATTTTTGTGACAAGAGGACAGGTCTATTGTTTACAGTTGCTGCTGGCCCTTGCCAGTGCAGTCATTCTCGATTCTGAGTCCCATGAGACTTGCAACTTTGTTTTACTACCCCAGATTCAAGACTTCCCTTTTCATTGCCTCCTACGACTTGTAGGGCTATGGTGAAGGTATTTAACCCTGCCTCCACACAGAATTGACTAACTAATTAGCTAACTTGATTCTGTTTGTCCTTGTTATATAGCCTTAGCACAGACTACATAGAAAATGTTGCTTCCAGCAGTTCCTCTGTTGTTGTGGGGACATGTTTACCAAGTACTTAGCAGTGAACATCTCCTTTGGCTCCACTATTCAGGCCCTCAGGCATCATATCACAATATATTATAGTGTTACAGACCATCCCAGTCTCATCCTATCCCAGCATGTCTTTTTTTTTAACAACAGACACACAAACTTGTGAGGTGGGAGCAAAGTGGAAGATTTTGAAGTTATGTCTGACAGATTTGATGTAGACAACATCTACAATAAAGTTTTCCCAAACGGAGGAGGAGGAGGATGGACTTACATTAAGCATGGGTGACTGTAGAATCCCTTTGGAGAATATCAGAAATGAAGATATCAAGTGAGGATGATACAGGAAGCTGACAAGTAGGTTAAGAGACCGAGTTGTGCAACAGAACACTAGAACAGTGATATAGACACAGATATAAAAAGACCTGCTTGTTCCATATGGCGTAAGGAAATGTTTGCTCATATGTATGCTTTGAGAAAGTAAAAATTTCAGTGATGAAGAGAAATTGGTTTAATTCAGTCTTTAAATGTTAATCAGACTCTGGCACGTGTTGAAATAAAGCTTAAAATACTTAAATTTTATTTTACTATTTTTGTATACATTGGAAGGAAACATTTGTATTCTGATGGAAATGTACAGAAACCGTTTCTTTTAAATTATTATTAAGTAAATTTGTCCCTTTGCTTAACTAATTAAGCACTACACCAGGAAGACATATGGGGGAGTAGATATATAAATCCACATACGAGGTGTGTTCAAAAAATGACGGGAATTTCCGTATTTTGGAAAAAATATTTATTCATTCGTCTACATTAATGTTGTCGCCTTCAAAATAGTCCCCATTCGATATTATGCACTTACGCCAGCGCTTCTTCCAATCATCGAAACACTTCTCAAACTCGATTTTTGGGATAGCCTTTAGCTCTTTCAGCGATGCGCTTTTAATGTCATCTATGCTTGTAAAACGACGGCCCTTTAAGGTTCTCTTTATTTTTGGAAATAGGAAAAAGTCACACGGAGCCATGTCTGGCGAATATGGAGGCTGGGGCATCGTTACAGTATTGTTTTTGGCCAAGAATTCACGAACAAGCAACGAAGTGTGAGCAGGTGCCACGCGTTTCATACCCAAAACATTCGAAAAAATTTCATGGCATGAGCCAATCGATATGCCAACATCATCAGCGACTTCTCTGATTGTGATTCGGCGATCATTCATAATCATTGCTTTCACTTTTTCCACGTTTTCATCGGTTGTTGATGTGCTGGGGCGTCCGGGGCGCTCGTCATCTGCAACGTCTTCACGGCCATCTTGGAAACGCTTATACCACTCGTAAACTCTTGTTTTACTCATAACAGACTCACCATAGGCCTTTGTTAACATTTCACACACTTTGTAACACTTTATTTCATTTTTTACGCAAAATTTGATACAAATTCTTTGATCCATTTCTTTTAACAAACGAAAATCGCCAAGCTCATAAAAACACGTCTAACCTTAGCGGCTGCCACAGACAAAGTAAGCAATGAATACAGCTGAAAATTTTATTGTACTTCAGGGGCATGTATACCAACATAATAAAAAAAAAATTTTGACAATTGGACTCTCCAAACCCGCGAAATTTTAAAATTCCCGTTATTTCCTGAACACACCTCGTATTCTTGACCTTGGCACTGGTTGGACGTGAGCGGTCAGCTTCATACCTCACTCACTGGATAGGAGGATGGGTGAGCTCCAGAACTGATCTGGAAGGCGTGAAGAAGAGAAGAATCTTGCCCCTACAAGCATCTGAACTCTGACCCCTCAGCCATTCAGCCTGTAACCAGCCACTATACCGACAGCATTGTGTTGCCTAAGCAAATATTTCCAGTGTATATATACATTTGCATTTTTCATTTCAGAGAATTGCTATTGAAATTTCTCGCAATAATGTGTCTGCGACTCGTGCTAATGGCAGTAATGATCCTGACAATGGTACTATATCAGGAGCTCCTGCAAATGTCATTTCACCTGTAATTGGTGACTGTGTACTAAGTAATCATCTTCTGGAGTCTTCTGTAGTATCTGGTTCTTTGCCACAGAGGTCAGTGTGATTTTCAGTGAATGCATCCTGTTGTGTGTGAGTTGTAATCTATCTCTCCTTTAAATCGGACATTTACACAACGGAGTCACCCGTCAGATAGTATCAAATTTTAAATAATAACATACAACGTAACAACAGGCCTCCGAACACCGCATCAGCCATTGTGTATATAATGTCCATATAAGCATTACATATACACTCAACTCTTGATTATCCGGGATAATGGTGGGGATGGAAATCACGATTAATCGAAAACCTGGTTAAGACAAATTTTATTAAAAGTAGTACTGTAATACTGTACCTTCATAATACTGTAGCGTGTTTTGTTACTGAAGACGCCATTCGGATTGTTAATTGGTTTATTTAACAACCCTGATTATAACACTGTTGTGGGGTTTCACACTTTATAACCCTATTCTCAATAATCTCTTCACACTATATTCAGTAGTCTACACGTATTCACAGTATTCCAACTCAACTCGTAGGCTGCTGCCTTGAGAACTCGTTCACTGCTGACTTGAGAACTCACTTTGGCGGTTGATACACTTTTTAACTTGTTCACTGCTGACTGGAGAACTCACTTTGGCGGCTGTGTAGTTCCCTTATATAGTCGCAGTGTTTGCCTGTTACGTAATCGGTACTGCTGTTGCCTGACGCCGTGTTGACAGCGGCATTGCATGCCATGTAAGTGTGGAGGGGGGGGGACAGCGCTGACTCACCCGCCACGTCACCGTGGCCAGAGTTGCCACGTCACTGCTGGGAGAGGGAGGGGTTGTCCTCCATTGTGCACCATGTCACGATACTATAGGCCTGCCTGTATTTAAATTTATTCAACCTTATTTTTATGTCATCTCATGGCCTGTTTAATACTTTTTTACATTACACTGAAGTATGAATTAGTTATTTCAATCACAGTGTTCAACAACATCCAACACTTTATACGAATATTCACACTTATCACTTAAAAAAAATTAATATTGTCGTTTGCTTTTTCGCGGCATTTTCTTTTTACGGATATCCGTACGAAGCCTACGTAATATTAGCTTGTCACTTAATAAACTGTTCTCTTCACTCTCGAGATAGTCCAGTAAGGATTCCAAATGATTAAGAGCAGCACCATGTGATATTTTCTTACTAGCAGCACCGTCCACCTCTTCCTTATTCTCACTTTCTTCCCACTCTTCTGGCTGCACCCTCACTGAACTTAACGATTTCGTCACTGCTTAACATTTCGAAGGCCAGCTCACATGAGTTTCTCTTGAGTACTTAACAAAACACGCTTCCTTTTACACCCTGACATTTTGCTAACGCACTTGAAGATCGATACAAAGAGACTAACTGGGACGGTGTATCTGTCCTTGAAACTTTCCACAAATCCTTGCATTCTTTCACCCCTACCCTAGAACATTGTGTTAGCATAACGGGACCAAAAAATGCAGAGCTCGGTTCACACTACTGCGAAAATAGTGTTACAACTCACCATGAGAAACAAAAGTGAATGAATATTAAACAATATATAAGCCTCAAAAAAGCCCCGGTTAAGCCGCAAACCGCTTTATCCGCCCCCAGATAATCGAGAGTTGAGTGTATTACTATTACAACTGCCAGTTTCCAAATACCATCACATATACAACTTTTAAATATACTTTTGACTATGTAACTGGTTATTTTAGACTTCAACTTTCATTGTAATTTATATTTTGTATTCCCCAATATCATTTTATACCATTGTATACACTTAGAAATTTATCACTGTATCCTATACAGGGTGTCCCAGGAGGAATGGACCAAACTTCGGGAGGGTGTTCCTTATGTTAAAGTATGCCGATATAACCCAAAACACCTATGTCCAAAGTTGAACGGTTACGGAGATAATGGCCAGAGAAGTGTCAAACTTTGACCGGTGTTACACACTTGTTGATTACAAAATACATATTAAAACTGGCAGGAATATGTGGATTCTGTAATGTTAATAATGTACGTAACATCAAACTAACTTGTGAGTGACGGAAAGCCATAAAATTGAAGTACGAAATACTCGCTCGCCATGTCATAATTGTCCTTAGGGTTTACAAGCACTATGCATGACACATGACTGGCGAGCGATGACGTAATATGGCTGCGCTATAACCCGACCACATAACTGTAAACGTACATTCACAGGAAATCTCTTTTGGAATTTCGTTTCCATTATCTCATGTGGATTATTATGGAACCACGTATGCACATTTCGTAAATTATTTACACCATCCAGGGTAAAAGACGCCTCATCACTGAATAAAATGACGCTTAACAGTTCGGGATGAACTTTTTATCCAGTGGCACAAATCCATACGCTGTGCATGGTCGCCTGGTTCCAGATGTTGTACCATTTGATCATGGTAAGAATAACTCTTCATGATGTAAAGTTTGCCACACCTGAATACATGATACGCCGATGCGAGAGGCGATTCTACGAGTGATAGACGCGGACTTCACTGAACAATATCAAGAATGTGCTCTCGTGTGTCTATCATTCGTACATCCTGCCTTTCAGAGTGCACAGAAACACTTGCAAGAGAACCAGTATCACGCAATGTCTGGTGAATTCGCGTAAATACACTTCGAGATGGAATCCTTCGATCGGGAAAACGCCTTTGGTATTCTTCAACAGCAGCACGTGCATTGCGACCGCAAAATCCACACACAAAATGCATATCACAATATTCCACGTGTGAAAACACAAAAGGCATTTCAGCAACTCATCACACAACTAATTTACCACCCATTCACGACCCCGCCGCAACGTAATCTGTAGGCTCTGGTAGGTTGCGCATGAGATCACGGCTAGTGTGACATCACCACACTCAAGTACAAACAGATAACAGTCACAGCTGACTGTCCACAGTGCGTGGACCTGCAAGAAGACCACACTTTTCTCGGGCCATTATCTCCGTAACCGTTCAACTTTGGATGTAGGTGTTTTGGGTTATATCGGCATACTTTAACATAAGGAACACCCTCCCAAAGTTTGGTCCATTCCTCCTGGGACACCCTGTATTTGACATGCAATTCAATAACAAAAAGTGTAATGTATTTGCCTTATGATGACGTTATGAAGGCTGAAACATGTAGCAAAAGTATCTCCTAGATCTACTTACATGTATTATCGATTGTTGTGTTATGACGGTTTTCAGTAAGAAATAATAGGTCAGTATGAGTTAACTGTCCATATGCACAACTGGATAGAGAATGCTACAGGCTTTGTGTTTCTGAAGTTTGTGTTACTTATGTATTTATATATGTATATATACTTATTTATATTTATTAATTTGACAGAAAACTGATTGCAGTTAGTGTAATTTTTTTTTCTTTTTATGAATTTTGTGTAATTGTTTTTCATTCAATACAGGGCACCAGATTCTGCAAGTGCACCTGTTGCACCTCGCGTAGCAGCTAATTCATTGAACCACTTAATAAACATGCCAGTGCAGCCAAATGATTCTTCATTGGTACTTTCCACACCAGGCTCTTCACATTCTCAGAGTGGAAAGAATATCAGTCCTAATGTAGGAGCTCCAAGAAGACAGCAGCGCCATGGCAATGGTAGCAATTCTTCAGGTAGCAAGAATAGCCGTCATGTGGTGCCTCTCACTACATCTCTTTCATCTCCTAGTCTGCTTAATGCTGCTGTAGTTTTATCCAGTTGCAGCAGTAGCGAGAGTGAGGTAAGGTTAGAAACTTATATCCATAATCGCTCCATTGTATGTTAAAAGAATGAAGCCATTTGGTATCTACAACACCTGTCACTTAGTGCTCAGTAATTATTTTTAAATCTAAAGATTTTAATAGGTGTGTGTGTGTACGTGCATGCATGCATTTCTCTTGGAGCTGGTGACCCTGAAGTGAGGAAGGATGTGTGAAATTTGTTTTATTGATGTAAAATATTATATCACTTTCATTTCAGAATGTTCATTATAGAACTTTGGCAATCAAGAGGCCTCATTTCTAGCAGCAACTACCCTCTACTTCTGCTAATCTTGTAAATGGGGGGGGGGGGAGGAAGTGGCTAGAAGAAAAACAAAAATTATTAGCAAATAGAAATGTTAAAACTCAGGTTTTTTCACCAATTTACAAATGTTCTTTGAAACAAATGAAATCATACTTGCAAAATTGTCAATAATGATGTTCCAATGTAAGATGAATACTAGGGCTAGAGCAGGAATGTGCAGATTCTAGACCAGAGGGTAAAGCCAGGGTATTATGAACTAGCATTTGATTAGTAAATAGGTGGGAATTATATTGCAATGTATTGGTATGTATGTGTGTTACTATAGGTTGGGTTTGGCTTGGTGAACAGATTTATTGACTACTTACAGGTCATAACTAGAAATAGCTATAACACTATTGCTGATTTCCACACTACAAATCACTCCATGCTAAGTCTTGTCTGTCTGCCTTCACTAGTCATTGCTTGGTAACAACTCTCAACAATGGCTGACAAGTCAAAGTCAGAGTTACATTGTGACTGACGGTCGGTCAGTCAGTAAGTCTTAGTGTCGAGCTTGAGCTGGAGCTCATGACCAGATATTAATTATTACTGTTTGACAGTTACGGTCTAATTTTTGTGGGGCATCCTCTCTCACGAGAGGACAGGTCTGTCTTTTACATATGCTGTTGGCTGTTGCCAGCATGGTCTTTCTCGGGTCCGAGTCCCTTGAGACTCACAACCATATTTTACTGTCTCAGATTTGAGATTTCCTTTTTCATCACCTCCTACGACTCGCAGGGTCACGGTGGAGGTATTTGACCCCGCCTCCACACGGAGCTACTAATCCAGTGGCTGACACCTGAACTGTTTTCAAGATAACTCCTCAGTGCTGACCACATTGAAAACATCATACTTCTATTGTTGTGTGCATCTCTGTTTCCGCCGGCACGTGTTTACTGAGCCTAATACTAAGAAATGGGTTGCATAACACCATTGTTCTGTTGTTGTGTGCATGTTTGTTATGGGTGTTACCTAACAATGGCTGCTGTGTACAGAGACACTGCTTAGCAAGGGGTATTTATGCCACAGTATTAATGGAGGTATGGTAATATGCAAATTACCTGCCACAGAAATGCTGTTCAGTATTTTGTTTACGATCTGCAACACACACACACGCACACACACACACACTCACCCTCTCTCTCTCCCCCCCCTCTCTCTCCCTCTCTCTCTCTCCCCCCCCTCTCTCTGAACACATCTGTAACATTATTACATTTCAGGATATTCATGAGGCAGATCTGTCTTGAAGTTATGATATTCTCTGTATTTCAATTTCAGCTGTGTTTGTCAATGGATATATGTAAGACTGCACATTTCAGCATGCCTTATTTGTTACTGAGCATATGAATTTTTTTATATGAAAATAAAACACCTTGCTGGTAGTGACTTTCTTTAAATTTCACTCTGTTTTGGTTACTGAATATAGAATGGTACAGATTTTACTGCACATCAGTTTTTATCCAACAGATGAGTCCTAGAATGGATGATTTCAAGCAATGAGACAAAAACGGCTAAAGTGACTTTATCAGTTTGAACATGAAATACTTACAGTTTCCCAAGAAAAACATCAAATGTACTCTTCAATAGTGAATACAAACCTGACACACAAATCCACATAGTTATGAAACTATTACCTGACAGTACTGCTCCAAAATCTCATTTAACTAACTCACTGGCCCTGAAGTTTCTGGGAACAGGAAAATGCAGTGCAGCTGAGATTATTTCTGGAAAATAGACACCCAATAAAAAAATATAGACTGCCACCAAAACACACTGCAGATACCAGTGTTGTAGAAGTTACTGGGGCATTCTGAGGTACGACCACGAACTGAAAACCTGATATTATGCACTAACTGAGAGCAGTCCTTTGTCCATCCAAGCAATATATGGAACTATGTAAGATTTGAGGCTTTCACGGCGGTGACTATGAAGAAAGCAGTCTTATGGGATTTGGCACCGTGTATATGTGGTGTTAACCGACGTTTCGGATAAACGTATCGCCTCCATCTTCAGGGTAGAAGAAAAAATAATAAATCTGCAAGCGAAGAGACCGTGAGAACCGGTAAAAGCAGACACAGTCTGCTTGCAGATTTATTATTTTTTCTTGTACCCTGAAGATGGAGGCGATACGTTCCTCAAAAACGTCGGTTAACACCACATATACACGGTGCCAAATCCCAGAAGACTGCTTTCTTCTTAATATATGGAACTGTTTTGTAAGTTGAAGCTAATTGAATAACACTTCCCTTATCAACCAAAACTATCACATCATATTACACATGTACAAGAAACATTGGCCAAGAAGTTCCTCCTAGAGTATTTTGGGAACATTGCTCCATAGTCAAGTTGCTGTGTGCTAGGTTTGAGCCTTTCAGAAATTCTTACTTCTACCTCTGTGTGTGTGTGTGTGTGTGTGTGCGCTATTTACCTGAATCTTTATTGGGAAAAGCACCTGGCATCTTTAGTGGGATTCCTGGTCAAAACACTAATCCTCTCATCACTTGAAGTACTCGTATATAGAGTAATTCTTGAAGACAATAAAGACAATCATAATTACAGGCTTACTAAATAAACACACTTCATCATTCCAGACGTTTGAGAAGCAACAGATTCTTGATAAGTGGAAATACAGATTGCTCTCCTTATTCACTTTTTGCAATCTTGACTTGTTTTTCTCTTTTATACAATTCTTCAGAATTGTAGACAATTGATGTTGCACTGCAATCACATTTCACATTTTGCTGATTTATGTCATTGCCAGTCCTTATCATGAATGGTGTTCTTTATTCTTGATTGTATAATTATTTTACATGTAATTTAATAAAGAATTATACATAAAAATTACTGATGTAATAAAAATATTCTCTTCCAGGCTATGTATGACCTGTTGTTTACAGTAGTCAGTGTAATCTTTCTCCTCAACAGGATGTGAGTGAACCTGAAGGGTATAACGATGACTGTGAGAACCATAATACAACTGTCGCGAACACAGAAGAAAATTCCAATGATGAAAATGATGTTGATGATGAAACTATGTCGGGTAAGTAGATGAGTACACATACATGTTATACTTAAGAAGCTTTAGATTAACATATGTTTTCTACTGTTAAAGAACAGGGAAGGGCAGTATTATTGTGACTGGCATAATACAGTGCTCAGATGTTAGTATGACATACAAGTTCAAGACACAAATTATAGTGTTTCAAGTTACAGTACTGAATCATTGTACTGAATCTGTAAATGTATATGACAACTCATCTTTAAGAGTTCCTGCTTGGAACTATAAAATTTTGCAGTTGCATTCATGAAATGTTTCAGATATAGAATTGTAATGTTTTGAGCATCTGAAAAGCATACTCTTTAACCTTCCAGTGCCGGGCGACGTACATAGCACGTCGGCATTTAAATGCCACATCTCGCCAGGTGACGCTGTTGTGCGTCTTGTGCTGCTTTTCATGTAAAGTAATACTTTTGCTATAAAATGAAAGAGGAAATTTCTGTCTATCATTTCGTACATTCGTTATTCCACTTTGAACTTCCCGGGATATTTTTTTTACATTAGAAGTCTCCGAAGAAGTTCCGTAGCTTGCTGTCTAGGTCGCAGTATTGCCATACAAATCTGTCTCCATCTCTTGGAGAGTTAGGAACTAAATATGCTAGGTTTATAGTCTGTGACCTCCTTGCGTGTTGGTTGAAGGAAAGTCTGTGATCTCTCTGCGTGTTGGTCGATAAAAAAATCGATTTCCATTCACCAGTGACGAGTGCTGCTTCTTGAACGGAATGAGAAACCACGTGTAGAAAACCTAACAAGAAAGATACGTGACGCTGACCTCTGTTATGACAGCAGTTAGATATGATAAAGAAGTGCCTTGTTTGCATTCCTTGAGGTTCTGTTTGTTCCACATAGCTAATTCAGTTTGCATGTAGCAGCCATGGCTGGGACAAGCAAGAGACGTTCAGCTGTGTTGAGTGACGAGGACTTACAGTGTTTGCTTGAAAGTGATTCCGAACAAAGTCTGTCAGATTCGGATTTTGACACTGAAGGCAAGTTAGATGATCGTGCCTTGATTGAAGCTGTTGGAAATGAGGGCAGCATTGAGTGTTTCCGCGACTACCACACATAGCTGAATTTTTAAGGTAATTAATAATTTTTATACGCTTACTGGCCCAAAAATAATTTGAAAGTAGTGTGGGTCAATACTTTAATTCTATATACTTCTCTTGACGTTGTGTGAAAATCTGAAAAACAGAACTCCAGTTTTTCCCCGTTTATTAAGCTTTAAGTTAAGTGCTGCATCCTCCGATTAAATTATTTAAATAGCCCCGGCATTGGAGTGCAAAAACGATTTAAATGCCCCCACGACTGAAGGGTTAACCTTTAATGTACGGACTTTTAAATTGCAGGCAGCCCTCTGCGGCTGGTATTTAAATCACCCTAATTAATTAACATTGCAAACTTTCCGGAAAAAAATATATTTTCCGTTCTGTGCAACATATAAATATGAACTATAAACATCCTGAAAGACAAAGTTTTCTACATATACACAAAAGAGCAATTTTTACAAACGAAAATTAACTGTGATTATTTTGTCATGAAGTGCAAAATATAATCTTTATTCTATATGTTATGAAATGCCAGGGGACTTACCCGTTGTTTTCTCTTCAACCTTGAATACTGGTGATATTGTAAATATAATCACACTATATACAATAATATTTTGTTCAGACTGTACACGAGTTTGAACTGCATCACGTCACAGTTTACAATACACTCTGATGCGCAGTCTACCTCACACAAAGCGACATCACACTTTTTACAATAGAAGAGCGTGCTCCTGCTTTTCATATTTAGTGAAACACACAACATCTTTGTTTCCCTTTGGTTGGCCAGTATTGTGAATGTTTCACCTCCAGTTGACTGAATTGGGCCCCAGATGACTTTGGCCTCCCCCCAAGAAACGCCACTGACCCTGATATTCGCCTTGTGCGATTGAAGAACTATCTTGGGGGAAGGGGGTTCTAGCAAAATCGAATAAATTATGTTGATTGACAAAGTGACACTCTCACCTGTTAGTAATACTCGCAAAATAGTGATGCAAAGTAATTATAATACTAGTCGAAAAGGGTTTCAGTCCAACACTGATACCGAAAGTCACAGTGGCAAAGATGCCTTTTACTCACAAAGTAATACTGGCTCAGTAGGTTTAAACCTCTTCCCAGACACAATAAAAACGATATACAAAGAAATATATGACAGTCTGACACTGACTTTCTAGCTTATAAAGAAATATTAGACAATCTGACACTGACTTTCTAACTGATAAAGAAATATTAGACAATCTGATGCTGACTTCCTAACTGATAATTTGCCACTGAAAACCAATCCTTGAATGCGTTAGACTTCCTTGAAGGCTCTGGAAGCACTCATATGCAAGCACCAATGAATATTTCCTCATCAGTTCTCGAAACAAAGCTGGGCTATATTTGGCTGACCAGGTTATAAACAGTCATATCTAAACGTAAATAGTATTGTTGCGTGTTGTGTGTGTCACGCTACAAATAAGTTTACGCCGTTGTTTGATATAGTGGATTTATTTCGTTCGCTCACCTTACACACACCTTACAATCATTACCACTTGCAGTGTTACAATTACTGCTTACACAATGTCTCGGCCGATACTGGACTGTCTTCTCTGGCGGTTTATAGCAGACTGACTGTGCGAGTGCATTCAACCCTGTTTTATAACCTTGGTCGCTGCTATGCAACGAACCCTCTGTTATAACCATGGAGACTCCTGTTAGAACTACAATTGAGCGATTGTTGTTTCCTATGCAACGGTCTGTTCTAGCGTTTCCATAGAAGTGACTCTTCTGGATTCCAGGCACGTTACAGTATCAAAACCAGTACTGTGATAAACGATTTCATTGTTCAGAGCTAAGGAATGAACCACTGACATGACCTTACGAGCGTTTGTTTTGGTTTCAAACACAAGGTCAAACTGTCAGCACTCCCAAAGAGAGCACGTGTCCTGCTGCATATATATATATATAACATTCGGCCAACTCGGGGTGCTGCTTGCTGCATATATATATATGACATCCAGCCGTTAAAGGTTAATAAGATTGGTCTTATATATCACGTAAAATAGAGCTCTGAAAAAAGGCAGAGGTGTCTTGATGTATACATTTGCCGCCAACTCTCCCGCCAGCCTAATTCTTACAAAGAACAGTGCTTTCTTACTTAAATTTGATGATTGATCTTGTCTGTATGTATTACTGTTTCAGAGGCTGTGTCAGTTATTAGGTTTGCAGCCCTGTCAGCCCTTGGCATTGTATTATACCAGTCATAATGAGCCTTCCACCTTGCCAAGGAACTGGCTATCATTACTGAGTTCTTTTTGCATTTTTCTCCCAGTACTTCCATATGCATGCCAGAATAATACCTTCAGATGAACAAAGCTTCTTGTTCCTCTTCAGTACTACACTACTACACAGCATTCAAGATCATTTTCCCATTTCCTTTCATGCTCTGTACTGTATTTATTCACATCATTTATGAACCCCTACTTTTAGAGAATAAATTTTAGAAAAAAAAAAAGAAATGTAATATTGCTTTATTATCTCCAGAATTTAAACTCAAGTTTATAGTACCGCACATATACTAAATGTAAACATAAGTAATTAACGTTACAGTTTTCACTTAGGCAAGTGGAATACTTGTTTAATGCAAATATAAAATCATTGAGCTTCTAGAGAATAATTTAAAAGTGCAGATTTTGTCAGCCTACGTTTTGCCTACTAGAGCTCAACAATTTAAACATTTTTTTCTGTATGTTTAAAATAATTGTATCATTCTTTGCTGTGCTGATGAAGTTCTTGGGTACATGCTAAAATGTATCATTGTAGGATTTGAGGTTCTCATAGTGGTGGTTGTGAAGAGTTCTCTCTTTTCCAAATATAACACCATCTTGTCTGTTAAAAGTCAGCCAGTGTTTCAGAAGAACGTGTAGCCTCCATCTTCAGGGTTGACGATCAAACAGAGCAAGAAAGCAGCATGAATTAGGCAGCATGCAAAGGTAGGTTACTCCTCAGCCCTGAAGATGGAAGTAATGTGTTACTCTGATATGTCAGTTGACCTTCAGCAGACTAAACAGCGTTATGTCCCAGAAAATATAACTCTTCAGTCAGTCTTTTTTATTGTGTATATTTAGTTCTTGAATACATTTAAAAATTATATGAACATAAAAACTCCATAGATCACTTGTTATGTAACAGAGCACCTTGAAAAGTTAAAAACTTACCATCAGAATTGACTGCTATATTTCAAGGTGTTGCTTCTAACCAAAGTGAGAATATTCATGTGAAAGATCATTGAGCTAACTGCACAGGAGCTTAAAAAGGTTGTTGAGAAGCCTGCAAATGAGAAACATTGGATGGAATGCATGGAGGAAGAGATTGGCAGTTCTGACAATCATAAGAACATAACAAGGCTTAGAATCCTTGATGTATAGTAATTGTCCTATCAAAGTTATTTTACAGTTTTCAGTTTCTGCATTACTTTCACGATTGTCATTTTCCATTTATATAAATACAAAGGTCGGATAAAAAGTGGTGGCGACACCTCTGTAGTTCTGAAATGACTTTATTACGTGAGGTAAACACACATTCCTTCAGTATAATCGCCCCCCATGTGTACCACTTTCTGCCAAATTTGTGTAAGGCGTCGTATTCCATCAGCATGTCCACTTCTGTTCATATCCAGCAGTGACTGCCCTACAGCACGAATAATCTCCTCTCTTGTGTTGTAACATGTTCCTTGCTGTGGTTCTTTCATTTTTGCAACGAGATTATAATTGCACGGACTCATATCAGGTGAGTATGGCGGATGTTGCAGTATCTGCCATCACCAGTGGCGAAGGAGATCCTTGAGAGCATCAGCAGTTTGAGCCCTTGCATTGTTATGAAGGATGATGGGGTTCATTGCCAACAAGTGTCGTCGCTTTCTCCTGAGTGCTGGACGAAGATGATTACGCAGGAAATTGCAGTAGTAGACATTTACTGTCTGTCGTTGAGGTACAGTGTGGTGCAGTATCACTCCATCAGTGTCATATGCCACAATGAACATTGCCTTCACATTACTCTGTGTAGGGCACACTTTCTTTGGACAAGGAGAGCCAGGATGCTTCCATTCATTTGATTGTCGCTTCAAGTGTGGTTCGTATGAGGAAGCCCAAGTTTTGTCCAGAGTGACGATCCTTCCAAGGAAGTTGTCACCTTCCCTCTGGTACCAGTCCAACACGTCTTGTGCAATTGCATAACGTTGCCATTGTTGCACCTCAGACATTGTATGGGGTACCCAATGTGCTCCAATTTTGCAGTATCCAAGAATATCGTGCAGAATGTGGAGCACGATTTTGTGACATACGCCTTCCTCAGCAGCTAACTCCTGCACAGCTCCTCAGCAATCGACATCCAGCAAAGAAGCAAGAAGCTGAATTGTGTGGCTGTCAACATGGGGTCATCCTGAATGGCATCCCTCCCTTTACTGAACAATTTCACCCATCGTGCCACTGTGCCATATGGCAAAGCAGCATCACCACATGCTTCTTGCAGTCCCTGATAACAGTTTTGTGCACTACGACATTTTGCAACTTCAGTTTTTATCCAGGAGCATTGTTCTTGTTTCATAAACATATTGTTATGGTGCTTGAAGTGGGCTCCTGCACTCTAGACGATGCACAATGCAACCCAATGAAACAACCAGAGCTACTCACTGCGCTACTTCAACTGAACTTCTGCTATCAGCTACAGACGGTGCTAGTTCCACCTGACACACATCTTTCATGTTACAGCAGTGTTGCCACTATGTTTTATCCAACCCTTGTATAAATAATTTTTTCCTACATTAATAAGTTAATGTTTAAAACAAGATAAATGGATGGTAGAGGATTGATTAATATTTATATGAGTTACATCAAGATGTGAAACATTTTAAAATTTTCTGAAAGTTTTTACTGATCCAGTGTCCAGAAACTTTACATTTTTTAAGTTGATAAAACATAACAAGAATTGTCTAGCAGTTGTGTTTTGAAAACATTAAAAATATTAAAGAGTTCTATCTTCAAGGACAGAACTCCTCACACTTACCACCCTGAGAATCTGAAATTTGATATTAAAGATATTGTTTGATTTTTTAATTTCAATACTTGAAATGATGCACTGTGTTTGGCTTTCTTGTCAAAGGAGAAAATGATGTGGAATATTCATTAGCTGCTCAGCCAATGCTATTCAGAGATCAAGACGCAATAGCGGATCAAAGTATTGGGCGTGCTGGGTAAGTGTATATTTATTCTAGACAGCTACTGATAACATGTTGGCTTTTTGCAATTACAGGTTGCAGATGCTGTGTGTGGGAGAAGAGAAAGATTGAGCTGGGTACATGATAACAGTTTAACCAGGAGAATGCCTTTGAACTGTATTAAGTTATAGAGTAACTTTTATGCTTAGCGGCCTCCATAGTCTAGGGGTGACGTTCCCACCTTGTGACTCAAGGTACGCGGGTTCAAACCCGGCGGAGGTCGTGGAATTTATAAAGGCGGAAAAATTCAGGGAACAAGTCCTCCGGGTGGGACTTAAAGCCGTGGGTCCCGTGTCGTAGCTTTACGGCACGTAAAAGAACCTCCTGTTCCAAGGGGACCACTGAGCCATATTCAGGACATATCCCACCCAACAGTAGTCTCTTAACGCCTCTGGTAGATGGGGGAAGCATCGAGATACAGCTGAGCCAGTAGAGGCCGAACTCACTGGCTGAGTCGGGACTGATGGCACGCACCAGTACCAGTAGGGAATAGTGAATGGAATATCATAGGGAGACGCACAATGGACCAACAGTTGGTCTAAGTGCATGGGGAAACCCACCCTCTCCAATACAATACAAACTTTTATGATTAAGATTGTGTATTTGACCATTTAGATGTATTTTTTGTTTCACATTCCCTTCTGAATTAACATTGTTTTGAAAGAATGTGGAATCTGTGATACTTGTGGCCCCACTACTGTCACTTTTCTTAACATTAACTGCCATATAAATATTTGCTATTGTAAATATACATTTGTCCAAGAAGTTACATATTTGGTACGGATTTATAAGTGTTCTGTAGTTTATGAATACAAATATGTTACTAGTCCAGTTATAATGTACTTTTCAAAATCTTGTCCTTTTCTTTCTATATTTTGTAACTAGAATGTCAAGAAACACACTATCAGAGAGCCTTGAAGATGAAATCATGCTTCTTCACCTGTTCGAAATGCAAGATCGAAATAATTCCAGCATTTCAGAATCATCGCCTTGGACACCATCATGCTACAGTACAACTAGTAAGAAATGTTTAATTATGACAGCTGCATAAAATAAGTAAAAAGAAATATTCCTGTTTTATAGTTGGGTAAACATGATATTATCTTTGTCTTCATCAAAGTAAGATCCTATTGTCTCTTCCATCCTAAGGGGAATATAATTCTTATTGAGATTTGAGATCCTGATGGCAGTGAATATTAAGATTATGGTTATCAGGTAGTCTGGTCTTATGTTATACACCAGACTTCCAAGTGTCAGATCATGGAATACCATATCGTAATCATCATCACCATCATTCTCGTTGTGATTCTTGTTCATTTTTAATGCCTAGGGTCTGAGTTCATGAATTCACAAGGGAATTGTCAAGGACAACGCACTCTGCTAACTGGTAGTAGTGTTCTGGATACACTGCAGTTGGACATGGCACAGTTGGTACCTGGTCGATCAGGTTCTCACCATGAGGGAACACAGAGTTCAAGTGGACCAGTAGGTTTAGCCAGAAACCACTCTGGTTCATCTCATACAAAGACAGGATCTGATGCCCACCTCACGGCACCTGGAGGTAAAGGTAAAGTTGGTCCCCCCTATACATAATTAATTAAGCAACTTACCATGAATATGTATGCAGAGCTGAAGGTGAGCTTTATGCCTTCTTAACTGTGGTGCTAGATAGGTATGAATGGTCAGCTTCATTCCACAACCTCTTTTCATTTTGTTTAAGAGCTCGCATTATCCATTGGATAGGAGGCTGGACAGGCCCCATAGCTGGTCCAAAAGGTGCGGAAGAGAAAGGAAACTCTTACCCCAGCAAGGAATCAAACCCAATTCCTCAGAATTCCTGAAATATCATAGGAAGTATCCCTCACACAAATCTGTAGTTGCGTTCTTCACTGGGCCACTTAGATCACTGCACACTGCCCTTATCAGGGCACCATCCTTCCCCCCTCCAGGCACCCATCAACCCTAAGACTTTCCTTTCTTCACAAGAGTTCTTGCACTGTATTTTTGCACGTGACTTCTCTTCCACCCTCCTGACTTTTCTTCCCCCACACACAACCACCACTTCTTTCCACAGTGCTGCCATCTGCTAAAACAGCCCTTTCAGGGATATTCTTAGTCACTCCTCTCTTGTCTCCTATTTGTCCACCTTGGTTCTCTGATAGAACCAATGGGAACTGGCAGGCTGGCTTCCCATTTCCCCTCTGTTACTGTTTAACCCCACATTTTTGCAAACCTTGTGCTCTGCTTGCTGCCTGCTTCATAATGGCTTCTTGTTTGGCTTACTCTTCAAACCTGAAGATGGAGGCAACATGTTCCTCAAAAATGTAGGTTGATTTTCTGCAGACTACATGTCATTATATCCCAGAAGATAGATCTCCTCATATCTATAGCTGCGAGAACCTCAAATCCTACAATTTAAAAGCTCTTAAAACACATGATGGATGTATAACACAGTCCATCAATAATGCAACAATTGTTCCTTTTTCTTCCACTTACACTTTAACACAACATGTGTTGGTCTTAGATGGCTATCTTCAGGTGTCTTAATATATCAAAACTGCTACACTGCATTAACTTGCAGTAATATCACCGCTGTGGTGCACTTAATAAAATAAAATAAAATAAAGAGAAGACAACACTACACGCTGCTAGAATGAACAACACACAAACAAGGAGTATATTATAGATTGGAGACGTAACAGAACAACAGGCTAATGAAAATAAAAATGAGCTGCAGAAACGAAAGACATGGAGAGAAAGAGTGTATAGTTCTAAACAAATGCATGACACTCCTTGTGAAGTGGAATAGAATTTCACCAAAGTGATGGAAATTTGAATGGCTTTTGTTTTATTTTATTTTCTTAAGTGCACTAAAGCGTGTGATTTTACTGCATATTAATGCAGCGTAGCAGTATTACTGACCTTGTGTTGTTGTTTCCATTCAAAATAGTATCATTAAGTAATCAAGGAATCAGGAACTGTCTCTGCATCAGTGATACTGATTGGTATTTTTACGTCTGCCAGTTTCGTTAGGAGCTTCCCGGAATGTGCTTACTCCAAGGCAAACAATGGCTCTACGTAGACAGGGTCAAGGACCTGTAGCCACTTCAACACCCAGTCACTTAAAGCATTCACAGTCAGATTGGATTGAACTAAATCCAGGCCGAGAAGTAAGTAAAGCCAATTTATCTTCATCTTTCATTGCTCAGTGTTCTTGAGAATTCCATGAATCCTTGAGTTTTTATACCGTGCCTTGTTTTAAAACTTGTTTCAAACATGAACTTTAGTTATGACATTGTTTAATTTCAAAGTTAAGTAAGTTTAATTTGAAATCTGTGTTTGTTTGAAGAAAAGCCCCTGTTGCTATATTTCATCTAGATACATTGAAAGTTCATTTGTGGCTGAATATATTTTCATGATGTTGTATTTTGTTATAATTTTTTTGTAATTTGTGAGATGTGTTATTACTAGTGGTATTGAAACATTTCATTTCAGGAACGTCTGTGGGCATTCAGTAACCTGCTGCAACAGTTACATTTGTCACCATTAAGTGATGAAAGTGACACTTCACCCAACACTGCCATTCTTGTTACCAGACTTGGGTATGTCTTCCTTATGCAGTAAGCTCAAATAAGAGAAGGAATTAAAATATCCTGTTTCATTGTATTCTTGCCTGCTTTTCACCAAGGTAAACAAATGAAGTTAATTTAGTTGGCCCGTTTTGACTGCTAATATTTGAATCACACTTGATTCATTTCTTCTCCTTTATTTCTGTTTTGCCCAGTAGTCTGCAGGGAGTGTCGCATCAGATGTTGAGTGGGAGAACTTGTGAAGTATTAAGTATGAGGGAGAGTCAGTAAACAGCTGTAACGGATGTAATAGGTTTTCCATGTGTATCACTAGGTAGCAGCACAGTCCAACTTCATGACAGTATAAGTAGCAGACTCTCATGCACATGTTCAGAAGCTTGTTTCCATAGGCAAAATGACGCCCATGCTTGAGAAGTATATTACCAAAGAGCAGCATTCTTTTGTGTAGTTTTCTGGGCAAATGGGCTCAATGCAGAGGATATTCATAGAGAAATGTTTCTTGTTTATGGTGGGAAGAGTTTCTCCTGTTAAGCGCTTCATAACTGAGTCAAAAAATCTCTGAATGCTGTTCAGAAGTTGCAGATGATGCCCAACCAGGTCACCATGTCGTGATTGCAACAGAAGCAACTGTGAGCGAGTGGAAGAGTTGATACAAGCTGACAGTAGGATAACGATAGACAGTGTAGCAACTGTACTGGGGTGTTCCCATGGTGTAGGATACAGCATAATGTGTGATTGATTGAAGGTTTGGAAAGTGTGCACACAGTGAGTGCACAGAGAACTGAAGGATCAAGAAAAAGTGAACAGAATGGGTCTGTCCTTGCAACATCTCTTACAGCATGTAGATGAAGGAGAAGATGTGCTTAACAGGATTGTTACTGGGGACAAATCATGGGTGCATCACTACCAACCCGAATCAAACATACTTCAGTGCAATGGTGGCATACATTTTGCTGATGATAAAGAGGTTGAAATGGAGGTGCAGAAGTGGCCGAGACAACAGTCAGAAGACTTCTCTACTGCAGGATTTGATGCACTGGTAAAGCAATGGGACAAGTGTATCAGTGGTGGATATGTCAAGAAATAATTTTTTTCCCCAGGTTTGAGTATCACACTTTTTACATTTTATATCAATTAGTGACCTACTGACTCTCCCTCATAAAATGTAGTGCTTGATTTGCAGTATTTCCCTTTAGCTTGTTTAATTGGTAGCAATTTGTCCTAAAACCTTACTGTACATGTTGAAACTATTCCCAAACTTTACAGCTTGGGACAAACTGACATCTTTTCTTTACCCCATTCTCTTATTACCCTGATATTCAGCACCATGAGAACCTCAAATATCACAAGGGAAAAATAGTAGTAAGATGGCAGTAGATGTTGTACTTGAGTTTGTTTCTCGCTGTTGGATCAAGATCCTTGCATAAGTAAGGAGAATTTGTGTGCAAATTGTTTTAGATTGAAGGATTATTTAAAAATGGTTACAGCAGAATTAAAATCTGCACAGGAGATAATCAGGATCTTGTATTAAGATTTTTTTTATTGCAAGTGGGGTGGGACTAAGTCCCTTGTACTGCGCCCACTTCTGGCCTATTGTACCAGCCCCAGATGATAGGTGAGGGTGATTTTGGAGCAATTGGTGGAATGAAGATTGGCAGGGGAAACCGAAGTTCTCAGAGAAAACCTGCCTTAGTGCCACTTTGTCCACCACAAATCCCACTTGACCAGACCCAGGATCAAACCTGGGCCACCACAGTGGGAAGCCAGCGACTAACCACTTGTGCTATGGTGCAGCCTTGTATTAAGATAGAATAAATGCTAAGAACCCCAAAAACCAGGAGAACCTATCGAATCAAATGCATAAGGATGCTGAGATAAATGACAGTGAAGCTGAGAACGAATAATGTGAGTTGTATGAATAAGAAAGTAGGTAAGAAAAAGCAATAAATTATAGTAATTGGAGGTAGCCATGCAAGAGGATTGGCCAAGGAACTGAAGTGTAGATTAAACCATGAATTTGAAATACAGTCAACTCTCGATTATCTGGGGGCGGATTAACCGGTTTGCGGCTTAACCGGGGCTTTTTTTTTTAAGTTTATATGTTGTTTAATATTCATTCACTTTTGTTTCACATGGTGAGTTTAACACTATTTT